AGAAAAATTTAAACAATCTTGTGGTTGCGGGGATAAGGTGATATTTCAAGGCATGGCTACCTCTGGTGCGTCACTGAATCTAGGATGAAGTACAAGAAATAGCCATGTTGGACATAACATTTTATAGTTAAGAAAATTAGAAAATTATTCTTGTTATGTGTTCTTTGATATCTTTTCAATATTATAAGCATGTTATACAGAATGATATACAGATAAAGCAATACAGATATTTTTTATTCTTCCTGGGATCTGGAGTATATTCACAATTTTTACCATCAATATTAATATTTAGATTGTAATCACTACATTTTTTTAACATCTGATTCTTGTGGTCTTATTTCATTCTCCAAGTAGATGTCATAGATTTTTGTTAAAACAACCATATGGTAAGAACAGATGCACCAAGGCCTTCAGCTAGCCATGCCAGGAATGACTGGGTACGTCGACAGGGGTTTAAAGTTATGATAAAATTTCTATGTATAGCTGGAGCTTGTGTGTTGCCTAACTTGCCTCTGGGACAAATGAATGGGAAAAGGACTCTCTCGACCAGCCATCACAAACTATTAAAGGTCATATTATGACAGGGCTCTCCCCAAGCAATGAAGCAAGGGTGCTCCCCCTCTCCCCAAAATCCTAGTACCTCTCCCAAAATGTTCAAATTTAGGATTTTCTCTTGGTATTTCCATGAAAATTCACTGATTTTTCATCAACCGATTAGGGAGCACCTCTGAGAATTTCTGTGGAGAAACCTTTGCTACATACATGTAGTAATACATGTAATAACTGTATGATTATGCCTGGCCATATGAAATCAAAACAGCATAATTTTTCTTCAATGACACATCACTTAACATGAATTATGTTTATGCCACAATTTCTGACATGCAGCAATGTAAAGAATGGTACGGTGGAAGTCTCCGGGCTAAGTGATTTTGTCTTGGCCAATTTTGGTGCACTCATCTGTGCATCGGAAATTGTCGTCCACATCATTTGGTAACTGAAAAACAGTAGACTTGTTGACAGAGTACCACTAGCTAGTTGCTGGAATAGTAATATGAATATAGTTTCACGTCTAGAACTATAGAAGCAGTTATACTTACATCATCTATGCATTGCACAGTGAATTGAGTGATTATCTCTGGGTATGGAAGTATTGTTTTGGGGGGCTGATTTGGGCATTTTGTCCAATACAGCACAGGATAATCATTGTTGACGTAGAAATGTCGAAGTTAATGTCAGCATGAATATAGGATTCAAACTCCAACCTCTTGGTCCAGGGTTGCTAACCATTGGATTACACATGCTACTCATGATGGTAACATCTGTGTCCATAATATCACCAGGGTCCATGATATCGCCACCTTGAGAAACAGTGTGCTTAAAGATATTTTTACTCCAACATACCCTAGGTATGTACATTTGATGTGTGAAGGAGTGCATACCAAAAGTATGTTGCAGTAAAAATATCTTAAAGCACACTGTTTCTCAAGGTGGCGATATTATGGACCCTGGTGATATTATGGACACAGATGTTACATGTAATTTCAGTATTTACCTACAAATACAAAAAAATTGTAGGCAGTACTTTGAATCTTAATGTGCGATGCGTAGCTCTGATATGATATGGACATCACGTCTGTCTCTCCTCAGATCAGCATGCAAAATTCCCCGCCACCGGGGTCCAATTAACCAGGGGGCGATCTTTCTACTCCGCTGACGGCACTCAACATCGATTTGTTGTTCTGAGCTCCATGTAGTGATGTACATGGCTGCTCATGCTTAAACTGTGTTACTAATGCTGCATACCTAAACCCAATTTTAGGTTCAGTTCCGGACTTGTAAGTCCGGACCTAAACCCATGGCAAATACAAATTTGCATGTTGGCAACCTTGCAATGTTGTCTGGGTGAAACTTTGGCCACATAACATGGAGGCCAGTACTTGATGATGCCCGATGGCAATGTTTTCTTCATTTTGCAGCAAAGATTTTGCAATCTACGGAAGGTTTTAGGTGGTTTGGAAAGAAAGGGGGTATGTGAAACGGTCTTAGTCCGGACTCGGTTCTTGACTTTTAGTTTTTTTTTGACTTGAACCTAAACATTCTTACAAGTCCGGATCCAAGTCCAGTGAACCGGTATGCAGCACTATGTGTTACACACATTACACTATTTACAGACAAGAACTGCTGCATACTGATTTACCTTCTGTTTTAGATATGCTCAAGGGTTGGGAGTTACAATCATGCTGCTATCAATTTTGACATTTCTATGTCAACAACAATAATTAGCCTGTGCTGTGTACTGTTATGCAAAAATATATTCATTTTTCCAATATAAAGATATATAATGCTTTACATCCAAAATCTAGCAATTCATGTCATATTAAAAATATTGTATTTGCAGACAGATATTCTGGCAACCTGTAAATGCTGTATGCAATTTTACAGCTGACAGAAAATTCTTGGCCTGGCTGACTACCAAAACTCTGTATGCAACTGGTTGATTGCTGAGTGGGTAAATGGCCCATTCTTGAGAGTGATCATCTGTCAATGTCTGTTTTATAAAATGCAGGTTGTGGTGAATATAAAAAATGCACTTCTCTTTATCAAATGTACTGATATATGTACTGATAAATATTTGTAATGAGCATGTGCACCTGCGCGAAACCTGTACATAATGTGTTGTGCATAGCACTTCGGCAGAACGCCTCATATGCATTAAAGCTTGTATTCGCGCATATAAGGTTAACATTCCGACAGTAGTTTCCGATATGTTGGAAAATATGTCATCTGCAACAGAAAAAAAATTCTCATGCAACGTTGACCAAACATCCAAAGAAAACCGTGAAAAATCTGGGTTCTGTGCAGGCGCAGTATGTTTTTCCGATATGCTTTTTAATGTATTTGTCATGTCATGTCACAATGAATCCATGATGTCATACATTTCCTGGCTATCCATGTTTGGCAGATCTGATTTGTATCTGATGTGTGTTGAGTGAAATCCGACACTCTGTGAGGCTTTTGAAAGAAAACCATTAGTCCATAATAATGCACATCTATATATCTTTGTTAAAATGACAGTTTCATTGGCTTGATAATAGGCTGCCATCTGCCCAGAAAAGAAGGTGTATTACTACTAAGTGTTATATGGCAGTTTATGAATGTATCAAATGTACCACAGTTCTAACTAGCATCACAAATAAATGCATACAATCTTTGTTTTGGAACTTGATCAAGATAAGTAAATTTGAACAGTTCATTTTTGTTGTCAAACCACATCTTTACATAACTTAACATAGTATCAGTCTCTCGGGTACATTAGGCATATCCTGCACCTGAACTGTTGTCAGAATAAAAACGTCTAAAACTTGAGTAAAAGCCTTTAATTGTACTTTGTTTAGAACACACGTAAATCAAGCCCTTTGCTGTATCAAGGTCAAGTTATTCTAACAGAGTAACAACCTCTGGTTTTCATGATCATTACTGGGATAATAAGTACAGTCATGTACAGTTCAACATTTTTCTTCAAACGTTATTTTCACGCTCATTTTTATCCCTGGCCATATAAATCAGTAACATACTGTAGCAGAACCCAGAGAGAATGAATTATACGGGGATCACATCAGGGTTTTAGTAGTGTGAAGGGCTCAGAGTGCCAGTAAATGCTGAAAAATCATTCAACAAACTAGCGCAGACTTTTAGTACATCAATTATGTTCGAACTGCTAACATAGAACTTATGAATGTACATAACTGTATATAACGTTTTTCTTGCGATTTTCTAAGATGACCAACAAGAATACTAGTAATATCCAAGCAAATTTACCTGTGACATTTATACTTTTTATTACAGTGGGAAAAAAAATTATCATATGATATGGCTTTTTTTGCATTTTTTTGCACACTATGAAGCCACCAATAAATTAGCCTCTGTAGCAGGCTTATTGAACTGGAGGTTTGGTCACTGGTCTTCGGCTGTTTTCCGATTAGCCCAGTTTTAAAAAACGGGGGTAATTCAATACATGTATATGCAATCAGAATATAGCACATAAAACTAAAAGATCCCAAAGACCCTGAAGACCCCCAAAACCCCCAGTTTTTGGCATGCTGTGGAGGCTACCAATAAATCTGCTTGTAGATAATCACAACAAAAATAACTCCTCCTGTGTCTGCTTTATTAAACTCACTTAGAAAAATAATTACATCATGCAGGCGATTAATCACAGATATAGAGTCTTGTCAGGTTTGATAAATAATTTCTGAATAACAACAATACTTAAGGCTAATGTAGGTTAATTCCCGAAGGAAATGCTGTACATGATAAATAGGATGTATTCTTTGCATGTTTGATCTTTGTCCGGCCGGTAGTGTACTCTACTGATTGTCTTCTACAATTTTCATGACAGTGCCTATATATAGTGCCTCGAGTCTCTACTCTCAGTCATTTTTCTTTGTCCAAGAGTAGGGAACTAACACCATGTGACTTAAGTTTTTTTCTAAAAGCGAAATAAGAAATACAGGTATGGAGGTTTGATTTATATACATATATTGCTTCATATTTTTAATTTTAAAATCAGTGTTAAAAGGTACCGGTAACTCCTCAAATGATAACCCAACACACTTATCAAGGAGAGCAAGGGCGACCCTGTGTGTTTGTCCATAAATGCGAGCTGTAGCAAAGATGCATTTCACTAGTTGTAGCTATTGATAAAGCATCATGCTTCACCTCAGTTCAAGATGACTGCTTTACCTTTTTACTGGTATATGCTTAACAACTTCTGTTGCAGATTGACATTGACTGACCTTGACAAACTTTCTCCCCACCCCCCAGGTTATATGTCTCGCCCGCCCGCTCCCCCACCCCCACCCACACCCACAAGAACACCAGCCCCTACACAAGACAGTTTCTTATTGAACTTAGACCAACGTTTGGTTACATGTCATCCTCCAGTACTTACTAGGTAGTAGATGCATATTAACTGACTTGACTTGTTTCCTCTGCAGGTTATATGTCTCGCCCGCCCGCTCCGCCACCCCCACCCACAAGAACACCAGCCCCTACAAGTGGGTCCGGCAGGACTTCGAAAAGTCCAGCCCTGAAGTCGACTCCACAAGACAGAGTCTCTTATTGAAACTAGACGAATGTTCCAGAGGTAACACAACTAGTCAGCCTAAGTGCTGTGGGTGATTTTATAAGAGTTGTGTGCTCTCTTGACTTTTATTCCAGATCAGAAGAACTGATTGATTCCTATGATGTTAAGCTCCCTTTTCCACTAGACATCGATTGCTGGGTGTCAAAAGTAGATTTTATAAGACGAACTTGATTTCATAATTGGTATATGATGCAAGAACAAAACACGAAAATACAGATACAAAAAGTAGTGGAAGGTACTTGAAATGCCTGACAGTTTTCAAAATGTATCCAGTTGCTTGAGCAACAAATTCCTTGCGTAAAACACACAAAAATTTGTTCTTTATCTGTGAAATTCTGTCAAATCGTTGGTCACCCAGAGGTTGCAGCCATAGTGGAAAGGAGGTGTGACCAGTTAGGCTATTGTAAGAAGATAAGATATGGAACAAGACAGCTGGAATTTACATGTATCAAAAACATGTCCCACCCAAATCATCATTTAAAATAACTAGAAACCTCCGCCTTTCAAATTTGATTTTTTGCTGTCTTGCTCCAATATTTTGTTTGTGACATTGGCCATGACTCAATAACCAAACATGCATTCATGAGAATTTCAATCAGAATGTCATAACATGTAAATTCAGACGTTGACATTGCATCTTTGTTTAATCCTAACTTTTCTGTCTTTTATGGTGTGAATTTTATAGCATTTTACTTTCTAAGTCAGTGAAACACTTAAAGCATTGACTGTTTTTGTTAATTTTTATCTGTGTGTGTTTAATGTGTGAAAATGCAAAAAAATCTATGCTTTGAATTTCATACATGTAGCAAAAGTTGTGCTTTTTCATTTTCTGTGCTTTTCTTTTCTGTGAAAACTCAAACAGTTTTTTACTTATTCCTTTCTTTTTTCACGTCCTTTCTTTTCTTCCCTCACTTCTGCCTTGCCACATCCACCTACGGACACTTCAGGTAACTATACAAATTTTCCTCCATCATTTTATTATCGTTGTCTTTCTTCCAGGGTATGTTTATAGTCCAAATGTATCGAGAAACTCAAATGACACAGTAGCTAGTTTAAGTCCCATTGACGAGGCAAGGCCCCCTAGCCCCACCATACCTCAGATCAAGCAGCAGCTGAGAGATATACGTACTATTACTGGTGAGTACTGCCATGCAAAAAAGTATTGCCTGATAATACAAAAAACGCTGACTGACAGTGCAATTTTCATTATCAAGACTATTAGCATTTAGACTTACTGTTTAGAAAATTTGACATACTTCATGTCATATGTCACTCATTGTATATATATGACATGCCAGTCAATTTTAAATAAAACTGATACTGATACTGATATCTAACCCTGCCTGGTATACATTTGTATAGTATTATTTAGTATATATCCTAGGCAAAAGTGCAATTTTGTTTAGCCTAAGGACCCAAGGTATTGTGTTACGCAATTTGTGTACTATTTGTTCTAAGATATACTTGTACATGCACTACAGATACATGTATGCTAACTGAGAGTTCCATGTTCCTCCTCCTGTCACCATCAGCTTCGAAATGGTCGTCTGCCAGCTCCCCCTCCAGGTCAGGAACCCTCACACCCAGGTGGGTTTGTTTGTTTGTTATATGCACAACCAGTAAACACAACAGTTTTCTACAGTAAGTACAAGCTGAAAAAGACTGTACTAAGATTGAACGGAATCACTCACACCAGAAAGGTCCCCTACTCTTCAATAAGTGCAGTGGGATCTTGCTGGAGGTGTGGCTCTCCTGAAACACGGGGGCTCCAGCTTTACGCCCTGTCCAAGAGGATGTCACTAAATGAGGCTGTGTACAGTACTCATTGTCACGAGTCAATTCAGGAAATACTAGTAGGTTATGAAGTGCCTTCCAATGTCATGCAAGGCATTCGAACCCAGAACAAACAAAGAAACCTCTGCAAACATTTCAAAATAAACAGTAACCAACAGTTTGTTCCAATGATGTTCCACAAGGACAAAAGAACCACGAACATTTAAAAATTAATAGAAAATGACAGTTTGTTTCAATGAAGTGATCATCATGAAAACAAAACCACCACGAACATTTCACACTTTCCAGTAACTGAGACAGTTGGAACAAAGCTTAAACATTACAACTATGGATTCTGCCAACACAGATAGTAACTGAATTTATTCCTTACCCATCCCCACCCTCCCTTCGGCAGCACTCCTCTGGACGAGTCGTTCCTGAGACGTAAGGAGAGCGACGACGCAGACGACGAAGACGAGGACAGCTACAAACTCCAGGACATGACCGACGTACAGGTCATGGCCAGGATTCAGGAGGAAAGTAAGTCAACAAAGCAAGCCGCTAGGGCGCCCAAACTCACACCACTTCTTCCCCAACACAACAGCTACCTACCATCCAAATTTCATTTCCCTAGCATGTCTACATCATGAGATATAAAAGCAAATAACAGCAACAAACTCCAGGACATGACCGACGTACAGGTCATGGCCAGGATTCAGGAGGAAAGTAAGTCAACAAAGCAAGCCGCTAGGGCGCCCAAACTCACACCACAGTCATTGAGTTCTTCCCAAACACAACAGCTACCTACTATCCAAATTTCGTGACCCTAGCATGTCTGGATCATGAGATATAAAAAGTGGAAGTTCCTTCTCGGCAAAGGTAATAACAGCTTCAAACTCCAGGACATGACCGACATACAGAATTCAGGAGGAAAGTAAGTCAACAAAGCTGAAGCTCACACCACTTCTACCCAAACACAAGAGGTACATACCATCCAAATTTCGTGAGGCCAGCATGTCTACATCATGAGATATAAGTCAACAAACAAAGAAATACACACAAATAACAGCTACAAACTCCAGGACACGACAGATGTACAGGTCATGGCCAGGATTCAGGAGGAAAGTAAGTCAACAAACAAACAAACAAACAAAATAAACAACAGCACAACACAGTGGTCAGGTAGAACTGAAAATCTGCTCCACCATTAGAAAGATTGATTGAAAAAGATTGAAAAAGTTGAATGTATTACACTTTGATATTCATTTTTACTAATTGATTTACTAATTGGGACACCCTGGCTTCTTTGTAAGCCAAATAAATAAATAAAAAAAATAAATACTAATTGATTGAAAACCCCTTTTCAGGTATCGTTGTGAGTACTTCAAGGCTTCTCTTTAAAATTACAAAACCTATGATCCTAGAACAAGTGTACTGTAAATGCTGACCCTATACTGAATTTATATTTGAAGAGTGATTCTTTTATCCAGGTTCGTTGATGTTAATGCTTCAATCTAAAGTTGATGTTGGAGTTGTACATGTATTCTCTCCCCGTAGCTCTGAGAAAGAGCCAGACTAGCACGCCTACGACGCAAACCCCGCCCGGGGGCGGGCGCGAAAACTCGCCGAGAAACAAGTCCTCCAACAGCAAGGAGAACGTCCCGCCCCACCAGGGGCAAGGAGGGAGGGAAACCAACATGGACAAAATCCTCAAGTCCGCTCGCGCGATCCTCGAGTTCGGACACCAGGTGGAGATGAGGGGCGGATCGGCGCCAGACGTGCTCGAGAGCAATTTTCTCGCCAACGAAACGTTCCCAATCCTCGAGGAGCTGCAGTCTCAGAGGAAGGACAAGTTTAGACCCTACGCCGGCGAAGGCGCGAAGCCCGTCGTCGGCGTAGAGCTTTTCAAGCCGAAGCCTATCGTATCTAGCAAAGTTGCAGGCCCGAAGAGTTCTACTACTGAGCCGAAAATGGGTCTAAATGCAGCTATCACTGAAGAGAAGAGCCGCCTAGAGAAGAATACCGGTACTGCATGTAGGGAGCTTGACAGCACTGATAAAGTAAGCAAGCAAATGATAGAAAGTAATGCCCAGATGGAGAAAGAAATGGAAGAAATGAGCAAGCTGGAAACCGGTGAATTTGTTAACGAGCAAGTGCCAAACCTTAAGCATGACCTGGTGAGGAAACGCCTTTTTGAAGACGATAATTTGGAATGGGGAGTGAAACAAAAGGCAGAAGAGGTTGAAGAAGCTCAGAGGAGGGCTACAGAGCAAGATGACATGTCAGAGTTGACACTTGAGGTAGCCAGGGCTACAGAAATGATTGAGAATATGCTGAAAGCAGAAGGTAAGTACAAAGAAGCTGACAGCAAAAGTTACGAGATTAGCAGGAAGATAAATGAGAAGACACAAGCTGATCGAAAGGAAAAAGGGTCGAAGTTTGTGGAGGTCATAGGCCAGGAGGTCACAGGCCAGCATAACAAGCAAGACACTGAAGCTAAGAAAGCAGAAATGCAAGAAGACAGCACCGCGTACAAAGTAGCCGAGAAGGTTGCCAGGGCATTCCAAGACGGAGACCAAGAACCGAACGTGTCAGAGGTCACTCCTCAAGTTAAAGATAGTGTAGTAGAACTAGAAGTGCCAAATACTATGATACAAGAAGCAAAATCTGGTCATGCACAGGAGGATGGCCGCCAAGATGTAGCAGAAACTTCAGCTAAACAAGCGCCGAAACCAAGGAATAAGTTCTTCTCAGGAGACCATGTACCCACTCCGGAAGAGTTAGCAAACCTTGATGACTCGGTACAAGCCGTGCCCGAGAGGTTTCTCGCACGGAGCCCTCGGGAAGACGACAACAACACACCCGTTCTTAAAGACAAGAAACCAGTTCCCCAAGATGCTGACTTCGCTCCTCCAGACACAAGCAAGCTGCCGGAGAGTTACTTGAAGCTTAAGCAACTGCTTGACCAGGGAGTGGAACTGGATGAGGCAGATCTGAGCTTGATCGCAGGAGCGAAAGAGTCATCAGAAGGAGGCACAAAGCTTGGACACAAGACTAGCAACTCCCAGAAGATGAACACAGCCAAGCAGAAAGGCAGCAGCGACAAGGCTACTCCCACAAGAAACCTGCCAGCCAGCAAGGCAATGCAATCCCAGCTAAGGAAGTCAGCACTCGGTGCCAGTCAACGATCTCTACCATCTCCAAGGACTCAAGTATCCACAGAGCAGCATGTAAGAAGAGTAGACAGTCCACAAGAGTGTGCCGGATCGTCGGATGACGGCAGCCTCGGTTTCTCGCGTGACGATCGCAGCTACCACTCGCTGCCACGGATGTCGACACCGCGAAGGAAGGGATCAGGCTCCACGGACAAGCCTCTGCTCACCCAGAACCTCCTGCAGAAGCGATTCCTCGAGTCCAACGGCTACGACGGCGGATCCCAGCAGGAAGAAGCAACGAAATTCCAGGCGCTTCCAGAACACAGCCACCTGGCCAAGTGGCTGAGCACCCAGAACACCCCGAAACACTTACCAGGGAGCTTGGACCGCAAAAGCATGAAGGCTGCACGCTCGAGCAAACCAGAAGACGCCCGCAGCTCGAAGTCTGACATGTACCCCATGACGTCGAAACAACGCAGAAGTGGTCTGAAGCCGCCGCGTAGCTTCGGGCTCAGCCTGCACTACCCCATGGCTCACGCCCTGAAGAGCGGGGACCCGGAAGGCTGCCGCAGCCCCGCATCGGACATCCCGAGGGGGACCGCTTCCTCCCGGGAACGGCGCACGTCTGAGACGGGAGAGGGGTACAAGACGCCGAGTTCAGACAACAGCGGCAGCCTTCTGCACGTGGACGACGTGAAACTGGTGGCACGGCTTCAGGAAGAAAGTAAGCGAGCGTGCGTACGCGTGTCGATCGGGCGAATGTATTGGGACATCTGTGGCTGCCAGTCCGTGCTCATGCTTGACACTCACTACTGTTGTACAGGCCTTACTTATAACAGCATGGTGACAACAGCCTGACATGTGATATACATGTACTATAGAGCACAAAGCATGCTCATGAACAGCAGAACAGGCCTGATGCAAACCACTAACGACATTGTTGTGCACCTCACATCATCTGTGGTGTCAGACACCTCACTGTAACATGGGCAGTACCAAGTCGAAGGCTTTGTTCTCAGACTCAGATGGTTTTGTGGTGGGTGGGAGGTGATTTTGACAGTTGATTGGTAGGGTGAGGATGCACCTTCTAGAAGTGGCGCAATACCTGATTAAGTACATCATACAATGATGATAATCCCCTCCACTGTTCCCAAAACACTTCCTGGAGATCTGTGAGCTTGAAGGCCACCGAAAATACTTCCCAGAAGTCTGATTCTGAAATCTTGAATTTCTTGTTGAAATTATAGGCCTTCCAACTTTAGATATAAAGAAAAGGATGGGAAAAAGCTCTATGTTTTTCTTTATAGTCATTCCTTGAAATCTGAGAACACTGCAGAGACTTGGTTTTGCCCAACTCTTGTCACTGTTTGAAATGAACTGTACATGTACATGTATATGTGACCTGACTTGTTAACCTGTGTTGCTTCATTGTCAGTTGATCAGGAGACTTTAGTCTGTTTGATTCACGTTTTTTCCCTACTTTGCATGAACTTGACTTGTACCACATGCAGCCTGGACAGCTTACTTTAATGCATCTGTTTAATATAACCCTGCCATTGTTGATGGATGTACTTGTTCTCCATGTATCTGTACATGTTTGAGTGGGTAGAATTATTTCAAGAACCAGGGTTTGTATGCTGTTTCAGATACTTAAAATATGCTCCAAACATGGGGAATTTCTATTACATGATGGCTTCACTTGCAGGGCTTTTATTTGCTGGGAAACTAACTGCAAGTTTTGTAGTGCTGTTCTTGTATACAAACCCTGGTATTTTAATCACAAATGGACCTATATGTATTTTCATGTTCTGACAACCATATATTGCAGAAAGTACATAGAAAATAGACAAATTTTACCTATGTATTTCATTACTCAATTCTCCCCAGTCTGTTTAGTATGTGCAGAGCTCTAATTCCCACTTCTTGGCTTGTCTTTTTTCTTCAGGTTTACGCCAAGAACTATCTCCAAGAAGACTATCATGTAAGTGGAATTAGCATATTCAAGTAAAGGACATGGGGAAATCACACATTTCTAGTTTAGTGACTGAGCTTTGGGTTTGTGTGTATGTACTGACAGAGTAGGTTGGCAGCACATGGTTGGGAGAAAGATTTAATATTAGCTTTGGTTAGTCTTGATGACTGTAACATCTGGCCAAACCACTTCAGTTTCTGTCTGAATGTATTGAAGTACATCAAGTTGATGATGGTTAGACATACAGGTAAACAATATTCAAAGACAAATCAAACTCTACTCCTGAATAGATTATTACGGAGAAACGTCCGGAAGTAATCTCCGTGATTCATCCAGTAGTAGAGTTTGATTTGTCTTTGAAAATCTAAACACATCTCTCTAAATACATGGATGTTTTTTCCTCAGCTCCCAGACAAAGACCGGACACTCTACAGTACGATGACGGTGATCCGTTTCCCGAGGATGAGTACGAATCTCCACGGAACCTGTACTACTCACCGCGCGACTCCCGCAGCTCTTCCCGCTCCCAGTCTCCCCAACGCCACCTCGCAGACTCCCCCAGAAACCAGTCACCAAAAATACAGAGGAAACAATATTATACTAATGGTGAGGCGTTACTTTATAGATCACAGTATTATAGTAATGGTGAGGAGAAAGTCACTTACTAGTAGATTATGATATTATGCTGTTTGTGAGAAGAAAGTCACCTAGATTCATACATACTCACTCACTTTCCAGTTTAATGTTTAATGACAATGGCGATTAGACGTGCTTGCACACTGATGCTGAGGTTTGATGGCAGCCTTCCATTTGCCTCTATCCTGTGGATTCACTTGGAATTTTATCTCTGGTCCATTCTCTGATGTTATCCTCCATTTTTTCTGAAGCCTACCCATATTTCTTTCTCCCTGTACTGTTCTTTGCATGATAGTTTTGGCTGGTCCGTATGACTGACAAGTGGCCATACATGTACCTCTTCAGTTTCTTTACTGTGGTTAGGAGGTCCTCATATGGATGTAAGCTTTCTTGACTGTTAGAAACATTCAGAGGCATCTGGGTTGAAATTACAATTGTAGCACTACCCTTGGACTCCAAGACTCATGTGTTTTTCCATTCTGTCCCCTATAGAAGACAGTAGAAGTGGCAGTAGTAACCTGAGTGGCAGCAACAGCAGCCTGCACAGTACTCCTGTCAACGGGGAGGGCAGAGGTGAGGATGTTTGTTTGTTTGTTTGTTTGTTTGTTTAACGTGCTTCGGGTGTGGATTGCCCATCTGAGAGGACGTCCTCAACCAAAGCTAGGTACTCATTTTCACATGAGTCAAGTGGAGAAGTAGGCCTTATGAAGTGCCTTTCCCAAGGACACAACGCTGGGGCCTGCAAGGGTTCGAACCCAGAACCTTTAGATTCTGTACACAACCCTAACCACAAGTTAGGATACAATCAGGTATCTTAATGTCTTACTTCACAAGTCCCACCCTACAACTTTGGTAGCTTGCCAATTGCTCTTCTCCCATTTGTTGAACTGCTAATTGTGATTGACAGTCAGAATTGCTCAATTGTGCAGCCTCTTGAAATTTTGAAGGGCTTTGAAGTGACTTCTTTTGTTAAAATTCTTGCAACTGTTAAAATCTTTATAGATCTTGAGTACACTTTGCAAAGACCATTTTCAATAGTGTAGTACTTGTTCTTTTGTGTAAATGCTTTGGTGTGGAAATGCCTGAACTTGGCAGTTATGGTCCATGTACTGTTACTTTGTGTACTCACTGCAAAACACAGTACACTTGAATGTTTCTGCTTGAATGATAATGGTGAAGTTGATAGTGTACTTGTAAAAGATGTTATTTGACTTTTTGAGAAGATGTTGTTTTTCTTCCCAGTCTTTTACATACCTAAACTCAAATATTACTACTGAGTGATCCAAGCAAGCTTATAAAAACCTATAATTAAAACATGTTTTTAGATACAAGCAAAAAGCAAGCATTTTTTTTATGACAAATAATGCTTGCTTTTATCTTCTTACTACGTGTATTGCAAAAATGATTCAGATGTAAGCTTGAATTATGTGTGGGCTTTTTGCACACTCAGATATATTGTTATGTTTACCGAAGAAAAAAATATTGTTTTTGCTCTGTTTCCTCTTCTTCTCCAAACCAATAAGGTTAATGACCTGAACCAGAAGTCACTGTGTTGGGTTACATGTACATCATGTTGCAATTTTATAGCAGGAGGGATTTAGACTCCTGTCTGACCTTATATTTGAATGTGTTTGAATAAGAATTAACAGAGCAGACCATATGCGAAGGTAAACATTATGCATTTGCTTTGCAAATGATACCTTTCTTGTAATATTATTATCTTTAACAATTAAATAGCATCAGAAACTACCACAAAATATCCAAAAATACTATCAGAAAATACTCCTAGTTTCTTATCTCGCAAACTTCACTAAAATTTGTAAAGTAAAAAAGAAAATAATTCCGCCATCTCTGCAGAGAAACAGCCACTAAGACGCAGTATGCCCAACCTCACCAAATCCACAACTACTAACCAGCAGTCGAGCCCCATCCGGTCCAGCCAGAACCAGGAGTCCAAGCTGAGGACCCCGACCTCCACGGGCAACCCAGCAGTTAGCCAGAGTGGACTCAGACAACCACAGGTAGGGTGTATACAAGACCAGAAAACACTGCAACACATGGCTTGTATGTGTTTTTTTTTTTGCACAACACAGTTGGAAGCTTCCCTCTTGCAGCTTTTTATTTTCTGTGCCGTGTTGCCAATTCCATGCAAACCTTTCATGTAGTCATCATACTTCCATTTGATCTGCTTCTCTTGCACTTGTGTCTCCTTAATACATGTAGCTTCTGCATTATAGTGACGTTGGGCACAATAAATTCATGATTAAGCCATCATTCTAAGTATTCAGAGTTTCTGAATCTGGCTTGGATTTTGGACACATTTTTTTTGCAGAAATCATAGACTTCATATGCAGTACAGTATGTCATTGGGTTGCAATACTTGTGTCCATACCAGCCTGCTCCATATTTGTGTGTCTAAACAGTTTGCAATTGCAATTGCAAGAATTTGTCAATCTGGTTACTAGCAATATGCCTTTCAGTCTTTGTGCAGTCACCACTGTGTTAGACAAAATTCTATGTACTAGATAATTCTGTTTTAGTACTAGTAGTGTAGCTGTCTAAGCTTTGCATTTGCTTGTGTATAGTAAGTCCTTTGAGATATAAGTCCTCTTTTATGATGTATTCACTTCAATTGACAACTTCAAACATTTGTAAACATGGTATGCATTGTTTCAGTACCAATTCAGTCATTTGTGATTCATTAAAACTATACATGTGTCACAAATTTTAGAGGTACAGTACTAGTTATGTAAGACGACTGTATCCTAGCCCTAAGCACTTTGAGTTTAGAAAGATACTGAATTATGTCTAGTTATTATCTGAATAGGTTTTAGTAGAATCAGAACTGAAAATTAAGTTAAATCACAAGTGCATTTCATTTTTGTCTTCCCTTTTTTTACATCAGCCATAATTCCACTAGCCATGCACTGATCATGACATCCGCTTTTTTTCACACACTCATGCCATGTTAAGCTGTCTTCATGTACATTAGTTTAAGCCTTTTCTTAGCCTGTCGATTTTCTCTCTCCCTGGTTACGTTTTGGTTCCATGTAGTTGCTCATGAGATCCTATGCACCTCTGTCATACATGGTGAGTAGGGATAGACTAGTCGTGTGATGTACACATGTGGCATACACAAAACACACAAAGCTGGTTAAAGTTCAGTTCAAGTTACACCATATTTCAGCGTATAAGACGAGAGCTATCCTGTGTTACACAATCTCTTGCTTGGGCCTCCTACCCAAGAGCTTGTGGCCATACACCTCTAACTCATTCTGTGATTTAGACTGTTATTTGAAAGTCACAAAGCATCTTTTATTCTCAAAGTTTCTCTTTGTATCTGGCAATGTAAGGAATAATTCAAACATAGTGTACTCTCCAAACAGAAGTTATGTCAGTTTTCAATTTTTTCAGCTTTCTTAGGTGCTTTGTCTGCTTTTCTGGCCAAGATACCCAAAGAAAAGCCAACGATGTAAGGAAAGCCTAAATTCTGCTTGGAGAGTACATGTACATGCAGAGTAGTAACAGTAAACTTTTTCAAACTACTAATCTCCAAGCACATTGTTTGGTGGCTGAAAAGGCAGATTCAAATTGGCCACACAGTTACCATTTTGACCACTTGTCTGGGCAATCGATACAGCCTGGCCAATTTATTTCTGTCTTTGCAGCCACCAAACAATCTGCTTGGAGATTATCAAACAACCACATTACATATAAGTTTTACATACCAAAGATTGACATCTATTTCTGTATTTTCCGGTAAAATCTTAGCTACACAGTTCTATCTCTCCCCTTACATTATTCCCTCAGAGTTTTACTTATTTCCTGATGTTACTAAAACGTTCCCGATTATTCCAGCTGCGTCAGTCCGGTTCCGGCATCCCGCGAGGCACCGGCATCCCCACACGACAGTCTCCGCAGGCCAAGAGCGGCATCCCCAGACCTGGACAGAGACGAGGCATTCCTGTGCCCAAAAGGTGCTGGTCTCAACATACAAGCGTACATGTGTCTCTGTAGCATGTTGGTAGAATGTACTCGTTGTGGGGTCGTGTGGTGTAGCGGCAGAGTGCGCGACTCGGAACTTAGAGTCCCGGGTTCGAGTCCTGACATGCCACCGATCTTGTGCCCTTGGGAAAGGCACTTTACACGACTTTCCTCACTCAGCTCAGGTGTAAATGAGTATTGTCCTGTCATGTATTTGTCCCCTGTGTTGGTGGCGGCATTAATAGAAGTTGAAAAAACTTGAGTGTGTCGTCACCACGTCTGGTGATTACATGTTGGAATAAAAAAAAAAAAAAAAAAAAAAAAGAATGTACTGCACCTGGGCAACACTCCTAATTTATCAGGCATGACATTTCATCAGAACATTGTGTTTGCCTAGCCTGGTTACCTAGTATAGCTCCCGAGCTCCAGATGTAGGAGATCGGGAGCTATAATAGGTCTGGTATCAGGCTAGTGCTTGCCTATTTAGGGATGACATTCTGTCTATAGTTCTCAAACTATAGTTGTGTCGGAAAAGGTATCTGCAATGGGCAAAGTTCTGATGCAACTTTGACCAAACATCCAACAAAAACCATGAAAATTCAGGTTTCGCAGTATGTTGTGCTGACATGCTCATCTCCATTGGCTTAGCAGGGAACAGGGATGTCACTGTGATCTATCCAATGCAGTTATGGCTGAAATTTAGTTTGTTTTTTTAGACAGGGAAAAGAAGAAACACTTCACCATGATCAGATAATGCCAACCTTTATCTTGGTTTGAGAATTATTGTCAAAATTATTGTCAAAAGTAAGTTTCTCAGATTAACTGACTTAAACAGCCATTGCCAAATGGAGAATGAAACCACAGTGACATCCTGAGGGTTACGCATGAACGGGTGCAGTTCTCATCTAGGTTGATAGGGGGCATGGTTGACATAAGCAGGTGCCCTCAGGCTTGCTTCCCCCATCTTTGCTTCTCCTGGGAATTTCCATGTATTTGGAACATCAAGGACTAAGGTATGTAGGTAGGAGTAACTAAGGCATAATACTGTAAATCAGGAAACTTTTGCTGTGGTTTTATTTTATGTTTTCACAGTGTTTGAAATTCACAGTTGAAACAATTCTGTAGTACATTGCAGTTGAGATGTCACAGGGAAAATAAAACCATTGCAAAACTTTCACGATTTACGGTAACACCTTAAGATGCCTTTAAAGCTTTAAGGTCAATCTTCTGCCAAAGGTGTTGGCTAGGTAGCTGTATGGGGCCAAGAATTTATTTATGGACATCCTTGGCTTGAAAGTGTATGAGAAAAGATGGGACTGTGGTCAAAAGGTCACTATAACGTTACAGCCGAGGTGTAGACTCAGTAGAGGGTTGGTATGCATGCATGCATACATAAAAGTTCTTTAAGAAGGTGCATGGAAGACTTAGGTGTGAAGGAAGCATGTGGGAAGACCCTGGTCTGGGTTGAAGGTAAGACAGTATTGACGGTACACACAGAGGTAACAAGGCTGAAGTGCCTTGCCGCTGTTTTATCTGTTAGTGAAGCTCAGGAGACTGAGGACAGGTGGGACCAGGGTGAGGATGAGCCTCGGGAGTTTTACTAGAGAAGAATTATGAGAGTGGGTAAGTCATGATTTCTCATGAAACATTGGTGAAAAAAGTTGTGTGACAGGCTAAACAGGAACCACGTGGTTCCAGATGTCTTACTGAGGGACGACTACATGAGCGAGATGTCAGTTTAAGCTTGAGGAATGAATCCCCTCTCCTATATTCTTATGAAAATTTAGGCAGCCTTGCAAAGGCTGCAAAGTTAGTGAAAGTTCCCTCACCTATTTTGTATAGGACATTGCCCATTTCTGTTTCTGTAGCCCTTGGGTCACACAAGGACTATTGTGCAGTCACTACTGTAACAGCAGGGGGCTTGTCCACTGGTAGTGGTGTGTGTTTAACTGCCATTATATAGTCTTTCCCAAATGCTGAGTGCTAAGCAGAAAAAGCAGTCTGTACCATTTTAAAAGTATTTGGTATGACTCGGCCAGGGATCAAATTCACGACCTACTGAATGCAACACTAGCCACTTGGCCATTGCACTGGTCACAGGCTGCAAACCCTGGTGTTAAAGCAGCGGTTTCTTCAATATAAAAATCCTGGATGAACCAACAATAACTTAGTTTTGGATGATCGGCAGTTTGTATCTAGTACAAATGTATTATGAAATTGATTGGAAGTGAGTGGGTGGAGATTTGGTTTCAGTTGATTGACAGGGTTGTGACCTGGCATGCTCTGGGTGATAGGATGTGGAATGGGGTCGCCAGGAATGTGTACTGTTTAATCATGGTATGAAACATAAACCATGTTGTCACACCTGAGTAAGTTACATCTTACAATCATAATTATGTTGTAATTCGAATAACCCCAATTACAGTTCTAATACATTCTAAAACACTCTTAGAAGGAATGAAATCTCTGATTTCTTGTGATGAGTGGCACTAGATGTTAATTTTCTGCTACATACTTAAAAAACTTTGGTATGCATTGTTGTAGAAAACTCTTTTCCCCATAGATATTTAATGCCCTGTCCCTAATGCCTTTAATAGCACTGGACCTGAAAGTGTTTTACTTGCCATTGAAAAACTTAAAATGACAGTAATTTTTGGTGCCTTTCAAAACAGTGTTGACAACAGTGTAATTCTGTGCCCAACTTAAGAGCCTCTTAAAGTGGCACGTTGGAAAGTGCTTTACGGTGTATTTTTAGGACTAATGCTACAAATGTACTAGAAAATAGCCATTACCCAAAAAAAAAAGAAAACTTTAAAGTGCAGAAAGATTTATTTTCCTTCCTGTAGGGAAAATATTCTAGCAGAAAATAACATCCTCATGTAAGGATAAATACTGTTCCTCAATATTGATAAAGTCCCATGTTTACCCCGGCCATAATATACAATGTACAATAGATTATGTTTCAATAAATGTTTCTAACCATAAATGAAGATGCTTTAGCTAATCATTAGAAATAGTTGGGAGTAGGAATATATAGTCAGCTACAGTGCAGGGCCCTTGTATGTTGTATTGTGCCCTTTGGGGAAAATACCGACATGCGTGGGTGATAAAAACCTTGACTTATCGTGTCCTTCAGGACCTGGTGATATCATGTTTTCACAACATTCAAAATCCTGCACTGAAAATGCCAGCTGAATGAATAATGTTGGATATCCGCCAGGTACATTTGTATTTTAGAATGATGATGATCGCAAATTTTTAAGGCTTCGTGATAGCAATACAGTGCTCGAAATACCACCTGCATAATAATGCCAGTTAGTGCAGGTAAAATTGGAGCTGAGCTGTATTTCCATGTATATTATGTAGGTGCGTGTGGACATTCAACACTATCAAGTACCAGACATAAAACAAATAACGGCAATGGTTTCTGAACAGTTTTTAGCGTGATCCATTCTTCCTAAATTCTGATCATGAGTGGTGTGGGCAAAAAAAAGTATATCAAGCCATTTAATACAAGTAATATGGCCCCTCCCAATCTACCAGATCATGCAAGTGGTTTCTACTTAGAATTGAAATTGGTCATTTCTCTGTTGCGGTGCCACTTACAGGTGATCAAGATTTTTCCTAAATTCTGAGTGAATTCTGAGTGGTGCAGGTTTGCAGAAAGAATTTTTGCGGTATTTCATGCCCTTAAAGTATGGCCCCTCCCATACCCAATCTACCAGATGATGCAAGTTAGAATTGAAATTGGTCATTTTTCTGTTGCAGTGCCACTTACACAGGTGATCAAAATTTTTCCTATTTTCAATGTTACCTGCACCAGTGCAGGTATGCAGAAATAAGTATTTCAAGCCCTTCAATACAAGTAATATGGCCCCTCCCAATCTATCAGATCATGCATTGCCAAGTGGTGTCTATTGAAATTGGTCATTTTTCTGTTGCGGTGCCACTTAGTACACAGGTGATCGAGTTTTTTTTCTGTTTTCAATGCTACTAGTACCTGCACCAGTGCAGGTATATATGCAGAAAGAGTCATTTCAAGCCCTTCAATACAAGTATGGCCCCTCTCATACCCAATCTACCAGATGATGCAAGTTAGAATTGAAATTGGTCATTTTTCTGTTGCGGTGCCACTTACACAGGTGATCGAGACTGATAAATCTGCGCCCAGAGTCGTTGACCTATTTCTCAATCAATGCTGATGTGGGGCACGTTTTGGGGGGAAGACACGCTAGCAAATTCTGAAGGAAAAAGATTTTGTTGCTCCTTTTCTAAGCTTCCTCCAGCACAATTATTGAGAAAAGATTATAATTGAAAGATATACTCGTAATTATATATTATAAGGCTATAAAACTAATTATGTGTTACTGGTATGACATTCTTTCACAAACAACTGTTGTTACCTTTTTAAGTTATTTCTTTTGGTACTCCAAACATTAATGCTTTTACCACAGCACAATATTGAGAAAAAAGATCTAATTGAAAAATGTAAAGCTTTAAGACTAATATATGTGGGTTTTTTTTTACATAAACAATGTTACCTTTATTTCTTATGGTAATCATTCTGATGTTAATACAGTAATCTTTTACCCCAGCAGGCAAATCTTATATTCAAGTGTCAAATCCTTTGTTTTCATGTTTGGGAGTTTCATTGTCTTTGCCCATAAAAGCTTTGCTATGAGGAAACAAACAAAAACTTTGTATATTTTGATGACGAGTAGTGATTTTGATGGGTAAATAAATCATAGAGGATGAAGTTTCAAGAGAATAAAAGTTAAAACCCCTTGACATTTTCTCCAAACAAGTTTGCATAGATGTTTCAATGGAAATGCCACATCCTGCTTAATATTCTTTGATCACATACATGTAAGACCAGATCAGATAAAATCCCTCTTTGGTGAACATTTCATCATCATCATCATGATGATTGTGATGCTCAAAATTCACTTTCCAGCCTAAAAATTTTGAATCATTGTCATTCAGCAACATACACAACAAAAGTTTGGGGACAAAATTCAAGTCCTGCTCTGTTGCTAGTTACTAGTTAGACTGTATAAGATACAGTATTTCTAGATGGCAAACTGCTGAATATTCTGCCAGGCAAACCATTGAGGAATACCCAGGGTTTACAGGCGCTATGAGAGGCCCTCACTATGCATAGCCAAACCCCAACGGCAAACTGAAGTAATGGAGGTCATCTGTCTTGTCGAATAGGTGTGCTCTAGGCTCGGTATCTGCCGTTAGAATATACTGATCAGAACACTACATGTAAATGCTTCTTCCTTGTTTTTTGCATCCTGTTTGATATGATAATCTTTCTCCTAAATTTGAGAGGTCAAAGAAACTGAAGTTCTTGTTCCAGAAGGATATCCATAAAGCTATCACAAGATGTCCTGGCTTTTTTTGGTGGCTTCATTGTTTTCCTGCAGAAATCCAAGAACCAATAAATCAAATTGGTGTGGCCTATATAATGTGTGACTCTTATAATTTATATGCCAGTTTGTTGTTTTCTTCACCTTTCATAACCAAACCTTCCTAGATACAGTAGAATTCTCAACAGTTCTTATACCCTTGAGAACCCCAGAGAATACACCATCAGTATTCCCAATGTCTGTACCAAAGATCCTGAGGCATCAACACAAATCTAATTTTCTCTACTCAGCGGACTATCTATCCCTCCGTAACGCTACGTGTATGTGTCTTATTCTGATGTTATTTGTCACATCTGTACTGTAAGGGCCCCTGAAATCTTTGATAACGAAGCCACGCTGAGATTTTTACTTTTTAATGTTGAATAAAGTGTATTTTATTGTTGCTTACTAAATAATGACAACTGTAAGTTACATGTATAATCATTTTATAGACTGATACTTTTGTAAATACCCTCACAATTCACCGTTATATTTTGGCTGCCAGGAGGCATGTATCTTTTTGCTAACAAGAACTATTAAACCAGTCTACTGCTGCTAGGTATACCGCAGTAGAAAGACGATTGGGAAATTGATTTCAGCAGTGTCCAGGTGTGCTAAATATCCACGGATTACAACTACAGCAGATGACGAGGCTTTAAAATTGCATGGGGATCAAAATATCGTCATAAACATGAAATTGTGCTGGGGAGTAACTAGTTCAGTCTAGCATACATGTAGATGGGATTTTAAGTACTTGTACCTGTATTTTCGTGGTGGTTTTACATGTATCTTGCTATACAAGGGTGGTTTTCGCAGTGTTTGAAGTTTGGGATTGGAATAATTCTGTTGTACAGTAAAAATACAAAACACATATTTATGGTGTTACAATCTCACCATAAGAGGTCACTTAAAAAACACCGCAAAAACAAAACCACCACGAACACCTAGTAACCTTAATTTTTGTTAGTAGTTTACATTGTATAACTTAAAGTTTCCTATTTCATGAATAGTTGGTATGTCGATGAAAGACATCTAGGTAATGAGATGCCAA